CAACCCACTGAGGACTTTAATATAAAAGTGCATACCTGTGACGACGACGAGATTTACACAAATTGTAGCTGTTCAACTATAAAAAACCATTCGTCAAATACTTAGGTATTGTGATGGACCAGAGACTTTGTTTGCACCCTCACCTTGAACAGGTTGTAAATAGAGTCAGAAAGTCAGTCAAGTCAGTTTTAGTACCGTTACAAACCTCTTAACAAACAAAAGGAGCAAATTAAACATCACAGAGCGGGGGGATTTGCGGTTATTGCTCACAAAAATAAAGCCAAACATTGATCGTTTGCTGACACTCCATCAGATACATCCTCCCCATTAATTAAAATTATGACCTGAACCTATATTACCTTAATCACTTTTTCTTGTAATTCTATTCTTTTAATAAATAAAGTGTTATATAATGTACCATTTTTCGTTTTTATTTTACCTATAGGAATATAGGGACCTGAACTCACAAGTGACACAATTTTTATTTTTTGGCGATTATAAGAATGTGGTAGAAATGTAGCAGCACCACTTTGGTCCACCGAACCAGTAAAATTTTGAAAGTGGTCCACGAGAAAAATAAGTTTGGGAACTACTGGTTTAGACCTATTAAACTAAATCCAAGTACCTACTTATTAATGTAAAACAAGACAACCCAATCAAAAAGAATAATTAACAGCATTGGACAAAAATTTGAAAAGTATTTTAAGTTTCTCATTGGCAGAGTTCATAAAGGTAACGACTGATGTTAGTTGTACTTGATGGATAAGTGCAATTAATAAGGCTGAGTTATTACAATGTTAATTATACGTTTTTATGTTGAGTGATAATATTATCGCATTGGGTGTAACCTGTTAGGATGTATGGATTTAAATATATAAAAGTCACTAGTATGCTCCAGCTCCAAGCTATTGAAATTAAAAACGATTGTATCATCTCTGCACACGCCATTTGATATTTATAAGTAAGACAGCGCGACAGCCGCACCAACTCTACCGCTCCGTGTCCATCGCATGCGGTCGATGCTACAAGCTGCGGATGCGGTTTCAATTTTTGCAATAAATAAATTTGCAATATATAATTTTAAAACAAATAAATAATTTTTCATAGAACAATTTTCTTGTCGCTAAACTTTAACTTACAGCAGTGAAAAAAACTGTATGTGGCAAAGTTCAACAAGTTTAGAGTAACAACTATCTCGACTAATGATGATTTTGGAAAAGTATAATAATAGTACATTCTCATTACATTCAAAGTTCATTAACGTTGTTAATTCACAAGGGGCTGAGATAAACATGAGCGTTCTTTAAGATTCAATATTAGTTTTTTGTTTCTTTCGTCTTTTTGGTCTGCATTAACGATTTGCTATACATATTCGAGCCGGAGGTTATACGCTGGGGTCGTGCGGTCCATGGCCCTCTACGGCGCCCCTGTTTGGGCACCGAACCTGCTGCGGCGGCCCGCTCGGGCGCTGCTCATGGCACAGAGGGTCATGGCGATCCGAATGATCCGCGGATACCGCACGATCTCTGGGGAGTCGGCGAACCTCCTTGCCGGATTACCGCCGTGGGATATGGAGGCGAAGGTGCTCGCGCGCGTGTATCGGATGCGCGCGGAGGCTCGTCGCCGGGGCGAAACTCCGCTTCCGCGCCAGATAAGTGCGTGGCGGGATCAGCTCCGGCGCGATCTCATGGCGGAATGGCAGCAACGACTGTCGCAACCGAGGGCTGGGCTCGCTGCCATCGCAGCGGTAAGTCCCCTCTTTGAGGAGTGGCTTGAGAGACGCTACGGCGTCCTCACCTACCGCCTGACGCAGGTCCTCACCGGACATGGAAGTTTCGGGAGGTACCTGTGTCTGATGGGGCGGGAGGAAACGCCCGGGTGTCATCACTGCGAGGACCGCCCTGAGGACACGGTGGAACACACGGTGGGAGAATGCCCTTCGTGGGCTGAGCACCGCCGTGTCCTCAGGGAAGTGATCGGCGATGGCGACCTCTCGCGTCCGGGCCTAGTGCAGGCCATGATGCGGAGCGAGGGGGATTGGGATGCCGTCTCCTCCTTTTGCGAAGCAGTCATGCTAGCTAAGGAGGAGGCGGGACGCGTGAGGCAGCGAAGCGCTGCCTCCTCGCAACCCAGCCATCGCGAAGGACACACCGGGCGTCGGGGATCGCGGGACGATCTCCGGCCACCGTAAGCGCGGGCCTGCGGACGGCGAGCATGGGTGGCTCCCCGTCCGACCAGAAACAGACCCGAGCGTACGGCGCGTCGCGTTCCGCGCGCGCCTCAAAGAGCCATCAGACCACCACAGATGGGGCCCAATAGGGCCGATGCCGATTCGGAGTCGCGGAGAACCTAACGGGTAACCGGGGCTCCGGCTCGACGTGCAGGAGAAGGAACGGGGTGGTTTTTAGTCAGTAAGAGTCTGACACTCCCTCCCGCCTCAACCAGGCGGGAGCAGTCATTCGACGATATCCCCGCCTCACCCAGGCGGGAGCAGTCATTAGACGATATCCCCGCCTTAAAAAAAATACATATTCGAGAGTGAACTAAAATGGTGGTATTTGCATCATTAATTTGTTTAAATAGGCCGTCGTACGTCTTATTTTCACGACGTAAACAGCTCCGTCGTTAAGAGTCCGTAATTGGTTTACAATTAATAACTTGGGACTTTTAATAAGAAAAATAATAGTAATTTTAGGTGTCACACTAGATGATAGATTGCAATAGGGGTGCCCCATATAAAAGCACTTTCGGGGAGATTAGGCTTAGCTGCGTATGCGGTTAGGTAAATTAGGCAGCTCAATTAGTAAATACAGCAAGACTTGTTTATCTTAATTATTTTCACAGCATTATGTCCTACGGCATTTAGCTGTGGGGTTGAGCTGCGGATGTACAATCGATTTTTATTTTGCAAAAGCGAGCTATTCGAACAATAGGTATATAACTTACCCCGTCGCGAATCTCTGAGAGAACTATTTAAAACGAATATCCTCAGAGTGCCTTCTCAATTCATATACGAAAATATTATGTACGTAAGAATAAATCTACAATTATTTGAAAAATAAAAACTGCGTTTAAAAAACTGTCTTCAAAAACCAAAAACTAATAACAAACAAAAAGTCAAAACTAAAAAGCAAAACATAACTATTATTATTACTGATAGGTTACCCACCCACTGAGGTTAGATTTCGGCGCCATAAGTTCTATACAAAATTAATCATTAAAACCTTAATAGATAAGTAATTTACAATTTTGTGGCCATTACGTTATATCATATATTGTTATATCATTTTTTGTTTGTTCGCGCATTACTCCGCCATTTGTTAACCGATTTCCAAAATTCTTGTTTTGTTTGAAAGAGTATACCTCCCGAGATGGTCCCATTTTCATGAAGTCAGGATCTGATGATGGGATCCTAGGGAAACCGATGGAAACTTTCGAAAATACTAGGGGTGAGTTATGCGTCTACTATGTTTTTCAATTAGGATTTTTAAACACTACAATTTGACAAGGGTCTGGAGTCGACCTGATGATGGAGGCGACAGACAGTCGAGAGAACTCCTCAGCGGTTTATATTAACTACCTTGTGTTTCAGCTTGATTAATTTGTATTGATGAGGACTTTACACCTAGATAGAGTGGGACTGTCATTAAGGGTCTGATGATGAAGAAGTGTAATTCTTAAGGGAACTCCTCAACGGTATACAGTATCTACCTTGTGTTTGGGCTTGTATAATTTGTATAAGGCTTCTAACCTATCAGTGGGTACTGGGTGGGTAACCTATCAGTACTAATAATAGTTACTTTTTTCTTTTTAGTTTTGATTTTTTGTTTATATATATAATAACAAACGCAGTTTTTATTTTAATTTTGTCATTTTCAGTGTAAAGCTATATAGATCCGTTATTATGTCACTTATAATCTACATAGGTGCAAAGTTCTAATCAATACAAATTATACAAACCCAAACACAAGGTATTTACTGTATACCGTTGAGGAGTTCCCTTAACAATTACACTTCTTCATCATCAGACCCTTAATGACAGTCCCAATTGATTTATGTGTAAAGTTCTCATCAATACAAATTAATCAAGCCCAAACACAAGGTAGTTACTGTATAGCGTTGAGGAGTTGTCTCGACTGTCTGTCAGCTCCGTCATCAGGTCCACTCCAGACCCTTATCAAATTGTAGAGTTAAAAAAATTTAATTGGTAAACATAATAGACGCATTATGTACTTGCCCCTTCAATTTTCGAAAGTTCCTCTCGGTTTCCCTTAGAGTCCATCATCAGATCCTGACCTCATGAAAATGGGATTATCTCGGGAGTATACCCTTTCAAAAAAAACAAGAATTTTGGAAATCGGTGCACAAACGGCTGAGAAATGCGCGAACAAACAAACAAAAAACAATACCCCCTCCTTTTTTTTGAAGTCGGTAAGAAGGGGTCGATGGCAGTTTTTAAACTTAGTCTAATAAAGAATTATATTGACGGGTTACGGTCGACTAAGTTATAAAAGTACCTAGGTACCTACCTACATGTTTGTGCAGTTTGTAGGTAAGGTTAACGTTATTGTTACGAGGCACAAAGTTTGAGTTACAGGTTAGGGTCTATAATAGGATGTAGCTAACAGATGCCTGACTGAATCTAAATGTCCTATTTTGAGTCAAAAAAGTGGTCAGGCTATGCATAATTTCCACATCTCCAAGTTCCACCATCTGACTGTTTCCGTCAGTGCGCGGCGGTGCGTCAGACAGACGGAGGCAGCTCAGAGCTCAGACTGCCTCAGACTGGGCGCTTTGGGGTGGCGGGTGGCGGTGGCGGCGGCGATACGGCACGACGCCGTGGCGTGCTCGACACTCACACTCGAGGGACAACCGCGTCCTGCCATTGGCCGCAGGCACGTGGCCTGATCTCGCACCATGGCAACGCGCTTCGCCCCGCACGCCCCGCGCGCACCGCAATTAGATACCGCGCAAGCGATCGCCTCCTCGCATTTCGCATTCACACACCGCACAGTCGCGCTGAAAACGAAGTCGCGCTGCGACGTGCCGGACGTCTGCAAGTAGCGCGCCGGTCGATACTCGAGTCGTGAACCCATATTATTACAACTAATGTTACGGTGTTGCTACAAACGGTGTATGAAGCTGTGTATTTTTTTATAATAATAAGTAAATATTTTATTCGTTAAAGAACACAAGAAGAGTGGATTGACCACGATTTTTAATCCATTTTGAACGGCGATTCAACACGAGGTTCTTCATTTGCTATCACAAATTGTAAGTTAAGTAGAACGATTACAAAATAAGAAATATTTATTATTTGTTTGATTATTCGTACTCATGTATGCACTTGGCCATAAAATATCTTCAGGCTGTAGCTTTTAAGTACATTAAACGTTTATTTCCTTCGAAGTTTAAGCTACCACTAGTACCTATCTAGTACCTACCGCGATGACGTGAGATTTAGCTTTGCGGTCTATACCAAGAGTAGGCTCTACTGTTTATAATAATAGTAGGTACATATTTATACGTATAATTTAACTATAGAAGTGTTAATTCTGTAGGAGCATTGAAAATATAAAAAAAAATTTAGATAGGTACGTAAAAAATGTTGTCTGTATGTCAGTCTGTATGTTCACGCAGCATACAAAAGCTACCGGTCCGATTACGATTAGATTTGATATGATTATACTTTAATATCCTGGGCAACACATTGGATACTTTTTATCCCGAAAAAGTATATACTCACACGACAAATTCAACCTTAATTGTGCGGCTCAATCCCTAGCCACAATTTCTATACCTACCAAAGCCAAATGTCCTGACTGACTGCTTTATCATCCGAGCCCAAACTATCATTGCTAAAAAGATAAAAGAAAATTCTAACTGTACATAATATACTCACTTTATGTGTAACTAAATACCCACTAAGAAGGGATTATAAACCCACCCCTAGGGGTCAAAATAGAAGATGAAAGTTTGTATGGGACTTGCATTGTATGTATCTGAGGGACACCAAAACTTCGTAGGTACCTACCTATTCAGAGTCGGTTGTCTGGGCACAGAATAATACTACCTAGAAGTAATGTAGTACTCAGTACCTAGTCCCCTCACCACCTACTGAAAGTTAAAAGTCGATGCCCCAAGCCCTAAACAAAACTATTTATGAAACTTTAGGTAGGTTTAATAGTATCGATAAGTAATCAATACATAGTATAAAACAAAGTCGCTTTCGCTGTATGTCCGTATGTATGCTTAGATCTTTAAAACTACGCAACGGATTTTGATGCAGTTTTTTTTAATAGATAGAGTGATTCTTAAGGAAGGTTTGTATGTATAATACATGCATATTGCACCCGTGCGAAGCCGGGGCGGGTCACTAGTATTTTTTTTTTTTTTTTTTTTTTAAGGGGGAAAATCATCGAATGACTGCCCCCGCCTGGGTGAGGCGGGAGGGAGTGTCAGACTCTTACTGACTAAAAACCACCCCGTTCCTTCTCCTGCACGTCGAGCCGGAGCCCCGGTTACCCGTTAGGTTCTCCGCGACGGGTCACTAGTATAATATATATCGAAGGGTAACGGACTATTTGGTTTAAGCGACATTTTGGGCGATATTGAGTTATTATATATATTCGACGGAAAAAAAATCGCGAGACCTCGAGGCGAGAAAAAAAAGTC